AGGTAAGAATGGAACTTTCATTTCATTAATGGTATTTTCCATTTTTTTTAAAAAGTTACAGCTAGTTAATGATCTAAATTTTATTAATGGAGTTAATTTGGAAGATATTTTGCTTTTAATGGTTGTTTTTTTAAATTAAGGGCATTAGCTGTTCCGAAATTGTGTTAATGTTTATAACAGATTGTCAGTTATCGATGCAAGCCATTAACGGTTGTTTCTAGCATTAACGGTGTAAGCGGTTTGCCAAAATTTCATTAAAAAATTGTTCACAGTTTATCAAGTTGGTTATATGGCACAAGTCATCACCAAATTGCAAAAAAAACCTTTAAAAGTTTCATCATATATATAGGACTTAAGACAACATTTAAAAACATCAAAATAGATTAAAAATTTTTTTTTGCAAGTTTCATTTAATTTTAGCCAAAAAAGAAGAACATAAGTTGCTGTTTTTTAAAAACTTTTTTGTTTGTTTTCCTTTTCAACCATTATTTTTTATCAAAAACGGCTAATCTATTTCATTAACTATTTAAAAATTAATGGATTTTACCATTTGTTAACGGATTCTTGCGATAATTTTCAAAAAACTCTGTTTCTTTAGCAGAATGTTGCTCAGTCCTACTTATTGGAAATGTTTAAAAATTCTTGCATTTTATTCTGTTTTGCTTGAATATGTATTTAACAATTGTTAATATATTTGAATTTTGTGATTTGCAATTTTTTGATTTTGCCTTTTCTTGCACTAAATGTTCCCGTCCTATATAATGGTGCATTACACGGTACACCTTCTGACATTTAACCATCCAGATGACAGAATTGTATAAAAGGAGAATAATTTCTTCATTCTTCAGTTCAACTCTGTAGCTTGGCAGATTAAGAACCATGAAGTGTATGGTAAGCAAGACTTTTTCACAAAATCAAATTAATGGAAAAGATATTGTAATAATTTATTGACTCTGATCCACCAATTGCCCAGTAATTTTGCTTAAGTTGTTAATTATGACTGTGTAAAGAGTATCCATCGAAAAATCCATTTCCGGTTCCGCCAAAAGTTTGCCTGAGATTTTTTCATTCAGACAAAAAAAAGGTGCCGGAAAAATCTTTTCAGGCAGAATATTTCCGGCAGAAATAAAATTTCCAGTTTTACTAAACCAATTTATCCATAATCTGTGGCGTGCCCTCGGATGAAAAATTTAAATTTAAATACACTAAATGCAGCCTGGTAAGTTAAAACATTTAGGAAAAATTTTCCGCCAGAAAACTTTTTGGGTTGAAATCTTTTCTAGAATTTTCGGTTTTTGGCAGAAATTTCCGTAACTAAAAATTACCAGAATTCTGTTTTCCAATTCATCTTTTCCGGTAATTATCATTACCACTGGAAAAAAATTCAGTGGAAAAGTGGACAATTTAACTTTGCATGACTTTCAACAAATCACAATCTAGAACAGCTCAAATAATTCTACATTTTAGATTGCCCTCGTACTCCTTGGAGTTGCTGCCGCTGAGGCTAGTTATGGTTATGGAGGATATAGCAGAAGTTATGGAGGCTATGGAGGATATGGTGGATATGGAGGATATGGACATGGATATGGACATGGATATGGCAAGAGGTCTGCAGACGCTGAGCCTGAACCAACAGCTGTAGCTGCTGCTGAACCTGAAGCTGATGCCTCCTATGGATATGGAGGATATGGCAGAAGTTATGGTGGATATGGAGGATACGGCAGAAGCTATGGTGGATATGGACATGGTTATGGCCATGGGTATGGCAAGAGGTCTGCAGACGCTGAGCCTGAACCAAAAGCTGTAGCTGCTGCTGAACCTGAAGCTGATGCCTCTTATGGATATGGAGGATATGGCAGAAGTTATGGTGGATATGGAGGATACGGCAGAAGCTATGGTGGATATGGTGGATATGGACATGGTTATGGCAAGAGATCTGCTGATGCTGAGCCTGAAGCTGATGCCTCTTATGGATATGGAGGATATGGCAGAAGTTATGGAGGATATGGAGGATACGGCAGAAGTTATGGGGGATATGGCAGTTATGGACATGGATATGGCAAGAGGTCTGCTGATGCTGAACCCTCCTATGGATATGGTGGTTATGGTGGATACAGCAGAGGTTATGGGTATGGAGGTTATGGTTATGGCCATGGTTATGGATATCATGGTTAACTTTATGGTTAGTGAAATACCAAGAGTTCTGAGTTGAATTGTCTGAATTAAAATAAAAAAAACTTGATATTTGAGAGAAATATTGTGTAGAGTAGAAACAAAATGTAATGAAATTGGTAAAATACCACCAATTACTTTTTGATTAAATTAATCTTTATTATTAGATATAAATTAGTTAGGAAAATGAAACATCATCTTAATATAGAGTGCAGATTCTGCACTGCACTGCAGAATGTAAAACATTCAAATTTTATCTCTTAAACATTGAATTTTAACAAATTAAAATCTGGCCTTGGCCACATTCGTATTCTACTGTGTGGAGATTGACATCACACTTACACCTTAATGAAAAATTGATTCAAAACATGCTCAATGTTTGATTTTTGGCCCAACAAAGTCCCACTAAATTATAACTAAGCAGATGGTTACTCAGCAGTCAGCATGCCTAAAGCAATATAGTTTATCAAAACAACTTTTTTTATTTTTATTATAATTGAAACTTTTAATCTTATCTGTCTTTTTTAATTGTTTGTGTAAACAGGGGCGGTTTACGATATTTTCAAGGAGGGGGGGGGGGGCTTGTAAAATGTTGTTATTTTTAAAATTAAATCTTTACTCCATTTCTTAATTGCTTGTTTCAACTCCTGAATATGGGAGAATGTCTAAAAGTTTAACAACAACAACAACCCCCATCCACTCCAAGCAGTAAATGATAAAAACAATTAACTTTGAAATCATAATGTTTAGATTGTTATTTAATGCTTTATCTACTAATTCACACTGCAATATTTACGTATACAGTGGTTTTTATTTATATCAAGCTTTTAAACAGCATGAGCTGGGAACTTTTGAATTGTGGATATCGGGATTAATGCTTGATCCTTCCTTTTTCATAATCTCCAGATTAAATCATGCTTGTTATTAATCTTGTTATTAATCTCCAGATTAACTAACCGATCGGGATTTAGGGTATCCTATTCTAAAGTTTTCAGCTATGGATACACAAAATATGGAAACAAACAGAAGCTGTCAATTTAAAAAGCTTCTCTTCAATTATTTGTAAACTTAAAGCTTGTTTACAATTAAACTTAAATAAAAAGTCGTCCTCATTATAATGATATTATTGCTTACCGCCGTAAGGATATATTGAATAGAAGGAGGGGGCGATAGGGTTTCCATACACTTTGCTGTGACGTTTTTGGACTGTTTAACCCTACAAAGGCTGGGGGTTCCAAATCTATGTATTTCCTGGGTGGAGGGCCCCCCCCTCCCCTTAGAATAGTTTGGGTGCTAGGGAGGGTATAAATGAAAAGCATGCCAAAAAAGGTTAAAAAAATGTATGTTTTTTTTGGTCAACAAATATCAAAGTGTGACACATGTTTCTGGATCCATTTTTCAAGGGCTTTTAAAAGTAAAGTTTTTAGATATCTATAGCTTAAATCAAACAACAATTATGGGCTATTTTAGACTTTTTTTTACACATATCGGACTTTTTACCGCCCTGTACCCTTCGCATTAGTAAAAACAAATTCGTTCACAAAAAGCCCTTTAAATTTATGTTCATTGAAAGTAACAAAATGTCACGGTGATACTGTCAAAAATGAGAGTGCAAAGGCAAAATAATACTAGACAGAAGGGGGCCCCAAACACCACCCCTCCCCCACCCCCCACCTCCAGCCTGTTCTGGAGTAAGGGTCTGGGGAAAGAAGACGCCATACATTGACATTCAAGTGCAATGCATGAGCATTTATCATGTTCTTAAAGGGACAGACTGGCTATGTAAGGAAGTTTAACTTAGCTTATTACGCAGTGTTGTGGAAAGCTTGTTTAGGATTCATTTGAGAAATATAAAACTTTTTAAAGACCCGTAAATCCTGAGTTAAAGCGCAAATTTGACATTCTAAACTCCTACTTTGGGGTTGGATACATTTTCAGAATCGTTTTTTTTAGAATTATTAAATAACGACGATAAAAAATGTATACTGAACTCTACAGTAAACTAATTAGTTGTTTAGGAACCGGTTGAGAAAATAAAGATTAATCTTATCATCGAAAATAAGTAATCTTGTTCAATAATTAGTTTCTATTTTCTCATTATTTTCTGGAATTATTACTGAAAGACTAAATTTGAAGAATTTGAAGAAATCTGCGAATAAATTCAAAGAAAATAAGAAATTCAATAAAATGATGAAAACGAAATAATTGATTCTAGCACTGATTTATTGACAAATTTCTTTTGAGAAATATGTTCCTAACCATCTAAAAAGATTACCATGTATTATTTTTACTTTTTTTTCGTCGTTATTTAATAATTTAAAAAAAACGATTCTGAAAACGTATCCACCCCCAAAGTAGGAGTTTTGAACGTCGAATTTGCGCTTAAACTCAGGATTTACAGGTCTTTGAAAAGTTTTATATGTCTCAAATGAATCCTAAAGAAGCTTTCCACAACACTGCATACTCAGTTCAACTACCTTACATAGCCGGTCTGTCCTTTCAAATGTATTACTTTCAAATGTATTACTTTTAAGAATTTGGGAGTTGTGTCAGTTTGTGTGGGAAAAACGTTATTTTTCTTCATTAGATTTGTTTATATAAGATGTCAGATGATCCTAGTTTCTCGACTTATAGTTTAAAGTTTAAAGTAAATGCATGTATTGGTCTAGCCCAGTGTTAAAGGGTTAAGACACTTTTCAAGCCCTGTCCATTTAAGAAAAATTCAGTGCTAAGATTAAGGTGCCTAAATGTGGGTTTATAAAGACACTATTGGTGTCTGAAAAAAGTCTTAAAATTTCTATTGATTTTCTACATTTGCAAAAAAAAAATATTAATTTCTTTTTTATTTCAATTTAGACAATTCAACTCTGCACTCTTGGAATTTCACAAACTATAGAGTTAACCATGATATCCATAGCCATGACCATAACCATAACCTCCATACCCATATCCTCTGCTGTATCCACCATAACCACCATATCCATAAGAGGGCTCAGCATCAGCAGATCTCTTGCCATAACCATGGCCATAACTGCCATATCCACCATAACTTCTGCCATATCCTCCATATCCTCCATAACTTCTGCCATATCCTCCATATCCATAAGAGGCATCAGCTTCAGGCTCAGCATCAGCAGATCTCTTGCCATAACCATGTCCATATCCACCATATCCTCCATAGCTTCTGCCGTATCCTCCATATCCACCATAACTTCTGCCATATCCTCCATATCCATAAGAGGCATCAGCTTCGGGTTCAGCAGCAGCTACAACCCATGGCCATAACCATGTCCATATCCACCATAGCTTCTGCCGTATCCTCCATATCCACCATAACTTCTGCCATATCCTCCATATCCATAAGAGGCATCAGCTTCGGGTTCAGCAGCAGCTACAGCTGTTGGTTCAGGCTCAGCGTCAGCAGACCTCTTGCCATACCCATGTCCATATCCATGTCCATATCCACCATATCCTCCATATCCACCATAACTTCTGCCATATCCTCCATAACTTCTGCCATATCCTCCATATCCATAACTAGCCTCAGTGGCAGCAACTCCAAGGAGTACGAGGGCAATCTAAAATGTAAAAGTGTGAGTTAAACCTGGCATGGTTTTGAACGATTAAATTGAATTAGCAGTTTTAAAATTAATCAATTTTTTTGTTAAAAGACAGTTAAAATCAAATTTGTTATAGTGAAGTTAAAATCAAACTTGTAATAGTGATCAGTTAAATGGGGTCCTAATTGTACAGCAATTTAACATGTTTAGAAATAAAATAAAAAGTTGGACAATTTTGATGATCAGATGCGATTATTTTTTTTATGAAAAAGCCATGCTTACCATACACTTCATGGTTCTTTATCTGCCAAGCTACAGAGTTGAACTGAAGAATGAAGAAATTATTCTCCTTTTATACAATTCTGTCATCTGGGTTAAATGTCAGGCAGTTCAGTTTTGTTCGAAACCAAGACGTACTGACAAAAAAATTAGCAATCAGTTTAACCCTTTAAAGGGGGGGGGGGGCTTCATTAATTACCACATGATTAATTAATCTGTTGAATAAAGTTCAAAACTGTTCTTCAAATAGTCGGAACAATCAGAAATCAACAAACAGTATTTGAATAGAAAAATACTATTTTTGTCAATGCTCATCACATGTTATGTACCAAGAACATAAGTGTTTTAAACCTCATAAAACTCTCATTCTCAAAATTATTGTTAATTGTCAATAGAGATCGTTTGAACAATTTAAATCAATCGTTTTTTTTTCACTTTTTTTTTTCAAAACTATCGTTTTTCATTTTTCTGAACTATCTAAGTCATAGTCCATTATTCGTTTTTCTTAACGACACCATCACTCACAAAAGATTTTGTTTGTTCAAAAAAGCTACCTCTACTTTTAACCTCTTTCCTTCAAATCCTTATTTTGAAAAAAAAATTCATGCATTCATGAACTTTCGTTTCTCATAAATAGTTCATTTGGTTGTAGCTGTTGTTGTTGGTTGTTAAGAAGAAATTTTCTATAAATCTTTAAAGACCAACATTCGGGAATGGATTGTATTTAAAAACCCTTTTTTGGATAAGATATAGTGAAGCTGAAAATTACTTTTTATTCTTTTCTACAAGCTTATAGTAATATGCCAGATAAAATGATCCTCTACTTGAATTTGGAACCAAAAAACTACAATAATTACCAAGTATAAACATTGAAGAGAAAAGAATGACTAAATAGTAAACATCATTTAAAAGAAAAATAACTAGAAAACCTGCAAAGGTGTGGTTTTAAGTTAGATAAGTTAGATTCTTAACTAGGGGAAATAAAAACACGGCAGCAAGTAATCCACAGGTCTAAAATTGAAGGTATGGGCTATAGAAAAATTAATGTTCATGTTAATCTGATGTGGGAGATGTGAAATGTAAATTAAAATTTTTAGTAAATTTAACTTTGAACTTTTAACAAGATTTCATAAGACTATTCTAAGATGTGATCTGAAACCTTTATCCGCTACAGATTTGAGTTTGGAATCCACACCACAATGGCGGAAAGGTCGTCATCGCATATTTTCAACAAAATTAGAATCCAGAAATTCTATTCATGCCATGGAAACTGACCAGACATATTTTACAAGACGTATAACTTTTAAAATAAAAAGAATAAAATGATCAAAAACTGAACTCTCTTATTTCCTACCACAACCACAGATGCATAAATACGTTTTAAATTTCTGTATAATTTGACATATGGTGTCATTTTTAAAATTCTTTAACTTTATAGAGCACTCTATACACTTGGTAGTCTAAACTGTACAGTGCGATACAGTACATGTTGTACCGTCTCGGATCATGCTTATTTTAGCATGGTGTGAGAAGACTATATTATCATGTTACATCTAATAACAATCACTGATAACCTAATTTAAACAGTAAAAACTGTTTGCACCCAAACGACTGGGATATTTAAAGGGTCCCTTATCAAATCGGACACACTCTTAAAATGAATTGAGTCACTTGAAATTACGTATTCAGTCCCTTTAAAACTGTACATATACATGATAATTAAAATATATGGTAAGAATTGTAATTATGTAATTAGATTAAGCGTAAAGAAATGAATTACAGTATAAAACTGTAATAAAAGTGGAGTGCAAGCTTTTTATCAAAGAAATTTAGTAAATCCATTTCAGTTCTATTCTGCGTCTTACACTTCGCCAGTTTTAAAACTTAATTAGTTACAGAAATATTTTAAAATTTGATTTATAAAGAATTTAGAGTTTTTTTTCTTGCCTAAATTTACTGTGAATAAAGTCATCCCTAAAAAAATCTATTCAATTTTGAGTTTTGGTTTTTTCTTTCCAACTGCAGTAATTATAAACTTGTAAATCCAGGATTAAGGTAGATTCATTCTTTTAAGAGAAAAATTCAAGAAAAAACATTTTTCAGAATAAACATGAGAGAAATATGGATTTTAATTTTGAGCTTACTCCAAGGTTAACAATTTCTTCAATGTTTTTTTTATTCAATGCGAACGTATTTTTCTCTTTTTACGCAGTCGTCTTTGCACATAAACATCGCAACACATATTCTCTTCGCTTTCTTTTAATGTAAATTAGATAGTTTTTAGAAATCAAAACTTAAATAGACAAAGTCGTCTACATTCTATTGATATAAACGCATTTGTATTAATGTTTTGTTTGTTTTTGTTACTTACATACTGATAATGGAATGCTGCAGATATTTAGTTTTTCTAACTGAATGGTTATATGAAGCTCTTAAACTGGTCCTACATATTTCCTTATTATTTATTTATTTTAACAATCACTTAGATTTAGGTAGAGTAGTAAAAAAACCATCGAAAAATTGTCAAGACAACATTTGATAAATTCTTTTTTCCGAAGGTCTGGATTAAACTGTTTAAGAGTTATACTTATAACCCTATCTGAAAGAAAAGAAAAGAGAATCCTTCCTTTATTAGGAAGAATAACCGTCTTTTTTATAATGACAAATAGACATATTGTGTGTTATTTATTTGCAGATTTCTGCAGCCGACTATACAAAAAGGAAATTATTAAAATTAAACACTTTTTCAGATATATTATCGACGATATTTTCCTAATTTTTGTTGAGATAAAGGTTTAAAAAATTACTCCGTTAATTTGGATATTGTGAATTGAGAGTCTATGTCAGCAGTAGCAGTGCCTTTATTTATTTTTGCTAAGCAAAGATGCCGCAAACGATTCACAATAACATACACTGTCAGCATACTAGCAAACAAGTGTACAAGCTACAGATCTAAAAACTAAATCTTTAAAAAGCCCTTGACAAATGGATGTAGAAACATGTGTTACATTTGTTTTTAAAAAAATATATTTTTTACATTTTTTTAACATTTTCTTGGCATTTTTTCACCCTCCATAGCACCCAAACTATTAAAGTTATTGGTCTAATTAATTAGGCTATGATCATGAATTTCAACCCCTTTACCTATTCTCTAAGGCCTTTCATGGGGGGGGGGCGTTACGCCCCTCCAGGCTATATGTACATAGATTCAGACCCCCCAGCCTTTAAAGGGTTAATAAATCATGAATCTGAAACTTCAATATCTTTAAAGGTCAGAAACAAGAAGATCGCTTCAGCTAGAATTAAAATGCAACATTTTTTTAGAAACCTTAAAAAAATAGTTAAACCTGATTTTCTTTCATCCATGAAACAAGCCTATTCTTAAATACGCCTTTTACTGTTTCAACCTTTATCCAAGTGCAGAGCAGTGTAAAGTTCATGCAGCAAACCTTGGTATAACGTAGTGTTGACATTCAGGGATACAATGTTAAATATTAACTTTAATTAATATTCTTAAAAAGACTGTTGCCGTCATTTTAAACGACCCTCCATATATATATATATTCACAACGGTTCGCTTAACACCTTTATCTAATCAATAATGTGAAAGATAACGTCGTTTTCATGGCGTAACAAGCGTTTGATTCTGATCATTTCTTCAATGTTACTGAAGCAAGAAATGCGCTTTGCTAAGCACTTTTGTAGAGAAATCACAAATAATGATTTTGCTAAAACAAAAACATATCTAATTTATTCCAGATCAAACAAATTTAATCCGCAGAAAAAGTGCTATTTATTGGATATTATAAAAAGTAGGGTTTTCAGCTAAAAAGAAAATTCGGTTCGCGAAAACTTCGCATCTTTGCGAGAAAAAAAAATTTTCGCGAAAAACTTCGAAATGTTGAAAAAAAAATACAGCATTAACACCATCATGAAAAAAATATGTTCGCGAAAATATTCTTTGTGAAATTTTTTTTCGCGAAATTTCACTTCGTTTTCGAATTTTTTGCTCCGTTCATTTTCGCGAAAAAATACGAAATTTCGCGAAAAAGAGAGCGAAATTTTTTTCATTTTTTCGCCTTTTTTCGTTCGCTGGAAACCCTAATACAGAGTAAACATATTTAATTAACATAGATCTATAACTGTTAGCATTTTTTGGTAGCTTGGATATTATATTTGTATAATACATATTTAGGTAGCTCGGATATTATATTTGTATAATACATATTTAGGCAGCATGGATATTATATCCGTATAATACATATTTAGGTAGCTTGGATATTATATTTGTATAATAGTACATATTTAGGTAGCTTGGATATTATATCCGTTTAATTCATATTTAGGCAGCTTGGATATTATATCCGTATAATACATTTTTAGGTAGCTTGGATATTATATCCGTATAATACATATTTAGGTAGCTTGGATATCATATCCGTATAATACATATTTAGGTAGCTTGGATATTATATCTGTATAATACATATTTAGGTAGCTTGGATATTACTATATGTCAAGACGTTACTACACAATTTCTCCTGCAGGTATAGATTAGTTTTAGCATGATGGAATTAACAATCTGGAAAACCTGAAATCATAAAATCAAAAAAATAGTTTATACCCAACAAACATTTGTTTATGTAGCATGCAAAGTTGGTGACTGCCAATAAGTGATTTTGTGTTGTAGAAAGCAATTTTTGTTGAATAAAGCGATTTTTCTTTCTACACCATTTTTTTCTCCTTGAGGGGTTTTGACAACAGTTTATTTTTATACAGAAACATCAGCTAGAAATAAAAATAGTAATTTATGATGAGATTATAGTTGCTCCATACCCTGTAATGTTAAACACGGACAATCTTTTTTTTTACAAAATTTATCTAATTTATGTTATTTTATCCATTAAATTATTGACATTTGAACCTTGGTTTATCTGACAAAATATAAGTAAAATAAAATATTGGATTTCGGGCACATGTTGACTCTTCACACATAATGAGTGGCATTTCCAATTTTCAATGTTACCCATTGAACCTCCATCCGAGCAAAAAAAAAAAGAAGATTTTTTTGTTTTTCTAACAAAAGCAATTTTATGCATTTTTAAAGGAAAACCCACAATTCCAAAGTATCAGTTTATCTCAGTCACCCTTACAGATTAAGGTCTAAGGTCGTGACTTGTGAATCAGACATGCCACTCAAAAAAACGTCCAAGGGTTCTTCTGTAAAATGTTAATTATTTTTAAGGATGAATTGCTTGAGCTTTCAAATATGTCCCTTATTAAGCCAGGTAGAGTTTTAGAATTTTAGATTTAATAGAAATTTGATCAAAAATTGTGTAATATTTGAGGAGTTTTGATTCTAAGCGTAAATGTTAACTTTACTGGTTCGATATAAGAAAAATATCAAACATTTTAGATTTTCTATGAAACTAAAAGGACCGTCAGCGTAATTTCAAGTGACCCTCCATGCAAAGAAGGCAATGTCCGATTACAACAGTATCATCTTAACCATTTGACTTTTAATGGACAAAGATCTCTATTTGTAAATATCTTGAAAACCGTTTGAGTTCCTGTAAATCCAGTGTACTAAATATTCAGAGATATAAATAAGGATTTCTCCAACATTCTTAATCAGTCTAAGGTTTAAAGAATACCGTTGTGAATCCTTCATAATCAGTCAAAGGTTTAAAGGGTACCGTTGTGAATCCTTGATCAGTCAAAGGTTTAAAGGGTACCATTGTGAATCCTTCATCAGTCAAAGTTTTAAAGGGTACCGTTGTGAATCCTTGATCAGTCAAAGGTTTAAAGGGTACTGTTGTGAATCCTTCATCAGTCAAAGGTTTAAAGGGTACCGTTGTGAATCCTTGATCAGTCAAAGGTTTAAAGGGTACCGTTGTTAATCCTTCATCAGTCAAAGGTTTAAAGGGTACCGTTGTGAATCCTTGATCAGTCAAAGTTTCAGAGAGTACCGTTGTGAATCAGAGATGTCTCCATACAAATGTAAAATTTTGAATTCAAAATTTTATCTTTCGATCATAGTTTTTTTGAAATTATTAATTTCTAGCTTAAGGGCCCGGCGCGGAGTCGCCAATGGAAAAATAAAATAAAAATTTTTGAAATAAAATTTTAAAAAAATGTTTTTTAGTCTTTTTCACACAAGTGCCTACAAAACATTTTAGCCCATTCAGTCCAGCTGTTTGGTTGGCTAGAGGGAACATTCATAAGAATGTCTTATTTTATTATCATATAGATTATGTACCTATACACGCTCAAAAAAACTGATATTTATTTTGACATGCATGTGACTCTTCCTTTTATAGGTTTATAGAGGCAAAATATGACAACAGAATGCATAATTTTAGCCTCCCTCCCCCCCTTAAAAACATTTTTCTTTTGTAAATTTGGAAAAACTAAAAATTCTACATCACAACTCTTTCTGAAATGTATTTCTTAGTTTTTTTTGAGAAGCTATGTTCTGAGTCTAAAGAAATAAAAGGATATCAAAATAATTTCTGTCTAGGTCTGGAATTAACAGAAGAGGACCTACAAAGACTGATTAGCAATTTTCTTGTCCTGAACACAACACCCGATAAGAAAATCTCACAATCAGCCAAGAATAAAAAATCAGAAAACAAAAAAGTTTCATCGACAGCCCACCATCACAACCCATCAAATACTAACAAACACAGTGTCAAAGAGATCAGAGAAGTTAAGATTTCTTCTCAACCTTTTAAAGATATTGATTGTAAATCCTCTAAAGATATATTACCTCATATATTAAGTATTGTTTTGGGTCACAAAGATGATGAAACAAATACTTATACAGAGAATAAGTGCCCTTGTCCCATACAAAACCAAAATAATACAGATTACGATCTTGATATACTACATCTAAATAATATAGATCATGTAAAATATATTCACAATGTTTTGGTGTGCAGTACAGATCAACAATGCCAACCTAACATTTACTGTGATAAAAAAAATGTCTGTCAATTTATCTGCCATGAATTGGTCATGCCTGATTGTGAGCGGGTTGGTTTTTGCCCAAATCAACTTTGTGTTGAAATATTTGAAGACTCTACAAGGTCTTGCAATGATGACACTGAATGTCCTGTCAACACTGTTTGTAGTCTGTTCCAAAAATGTGTGTCAGTAAGAGAACTTGAACCTCCATTCCCAATGCCATCATATTCACCAAAGTATTCATCACAAGTAAGCGTATATATCCAAATTCCAAAAACGGAATACAAAGATGGGGAAGATCGAGATATTGACTTATTGTTTTCTCAGAAAATTATTCATAACATTAAAGTTTGTGAAAAAGAAGACAGTTGTAGACCAAACAGTTATTGCACAGAAGAAAACAGATGCAAATTTAGTTGTCAGAAGTTCGATTGTTTAGAAGCCAATATATGTACAAAAGAGATTTGCAGAGAGATTTTTCCATTTAATTCAATGTTATGCACATCTAATTCAGATTGTCCAATTCTGACAATTTGTAGTTTGTTTAAAAAATGTGTCTCTGTGTCCGATCTTCATCCTCCAATCCTGGTTTCATCTTTAGTCGATGATGATCAAATGCTTGTTAAACTATTTTTGCAGATGCCCCGACAGAACCTCACAAGTGATGATTTATTAGACAACAAAGAAAATTCAAACTCGATCCCTCAGTATGACTTTGTTTCCAACAAATACCATAATGTTGTTCACAATATTTTGATGTGCAACGAAGATTCAGAATGTCAGCCAAATATCTACTGTAGAAATGCCACAAATTGTGAATACACATGTCAGTATATCAATAAAAAATGTGAACATGGTCTGGATTGCTCAAGAACTAAAAGAATATGCACAGAGGTCTTATCTTTAGATTTTGATCTTTGTAGGTTGGATTCAGATTGTCCCTTATTTTCTGAATGTAGTTTATTCAAGAAATGTGTTTCAACAGCTTCCTTAAATCCTCCAACATTTATTTCCTCATCCTTTTCAGATCAAGGTATTTCTCTGTACATATTTATCCAGACTTCGAAACTTGACACTGATCTTCAACTTATCAAAGAACCAAATGAAGACAGTCTTACAACAATAGTACACAACATAATGGTCTGTGGTGACAGGGAAAAATGTAAGTCAAATCCATATTGTCAGAATAATGCAAATTGCGATTTTCAATGTCATGAATCAAAGACATATGCTGATTTGGAAACTTTATGTTATTCAAAAGTTTGTGTTGAAATTTTTCCTGTTGGTTTACAGGAATGTAGCTTCGATTCAGAGTGTCCTACAATGTCTGTTTGTAGTGCTTTCAACAAATGTGTTTCCACATCTTACTTAAAAGCTCCAAACTTTATTTCATCTTCTTCTCAGCATTCCAATGTAACAATTCTAACTTATATTCAAACTCCGAAAGCAAGAGAAGCAACTGACATACCTTTGCAAAATGTGGAACCAATGGTGCGAAACATTATGGAATGCAATGATGGTATGGAATGCAGACCTAATGTTTATTGTAACAAGAACACAAATTGCAGTTTTGAATGTCATAACCTGGAAGCAGAATGCAAAGGTCAATCAGTTTGTAGGAATCAAGTTTGCATGGAAATGTTTCCCCTTGGTGGAGGTGGTTGTAATTTGGATTCAGAATGTCCAGTTCAAACTCAATGTAGTCACTTCAGAAAGTGTGTTTCAACAGAAAACCTAAATCTTCCAATCCTGATATCTTCATCAGATCTAGATTTAGGCAAGACATTTCCTATTTATCTTCAAACTTCTAAATCAAATGAATTAAATAAAAGTACAACCCAACCATCAATTTCAGATTCTGGAATTACAATACATAACATGATAGAGTGCAACAGAGAAACATTGTGTGTTCCAAATGTGTACTGCAGAAATAACATCAATTGTAAATTTGAATGCACAATCACCGAAAATAAATGTACTGTTAATGACTCATGTACATTTAAAGTATGTACTGAACAATTTACATATCTACCAGAATGTTCCACAAATTTTGATTGCACTAACTCAACAATATGCAGTCTTTTCCAAAAATGCTTATCTATATCAAACTTTAACCCCCCAATCCAACTATCCTCTTCAATGTTTGGAATGAATTCAAAAACATATGTGTATTTACAAACTCCAAGAAGTACAAAAAGTCAGCCTTCAGTAATCCCAGATTATGATTTTCCAAATCTGCAAGATCCCCAGATTGATTCAGAACATTTCATACAGAATATCATGGAATGCAAGGAAGAGAAAGATTGCAAGCCAAATATTTATTGTATAGATAATGTGAAATGTAAATTTGAGTGTAACAATTTAACAAACCAATGTCTAGGTCTGAACGAATGCCCAGTGAAAGTTTGTACTGAAATATTTTTAGATATTCCGCAGTGTGCAACAAATTTAGATTGTCCTAATTGGACAACTTGCAGTTTGTATCTGCAGTGTGTAATGATCTCAAATTTAAACCCTCCAATACGCATTGCATCAATAAATCCAAACTCCCAAGTTTATTTACAAACTTCAAGACCAAAACAAGAAGATCTTACCAGTCTCCCAACTACAGCTCCATTACAACCAGAAACATTCATTCACAATATAATAGAATGCAATCAGGGTACAGTATGTGAACCAAATCCATACTGTGTTGATAACATTTTTTGTAAATTTGAATGCAATGAAACATCTAAACAATGTCTAGATACGGGTTCCTGTCCTGCTCAAGTCTGCAAAGAAATATTTCCATTATTTCCTACGTTTTGCAATACAGACCTAGAGTGCCCAAACATGACTGTATGTAGTCCTTACAAAAAATGTGCTTCTTTATATTATAGAAATCCGCCTCTTTTTATATCCTCTTCAATTTCAGAAAAAAACCAAAGGATTGATGTTTACTTACAAACTGCAAACACTAAACCTTCCCCTAATGCTAACCCTGGAGAAGGTAACAATGATCCCAAAGATATAGAAACCTTTATTCACAATATCATGGAATGTTCTGAAATTGAGTGTGAACCAAATAAATATTGTGTTGATAACATTCATTGTACATTCGAATGCAATTCAACATCTAATCAATGCTTTCAAAGTGCTTTTTGCCCAACAAAAATATGTACTGAGAAATTTCTACAACTTCCCCAACTCTGTAAATCAGATTTTGAGTGCCCAGATAATGCAGTTTGCAGTTTGTACAAAAAATGCACATCAATAAAAGATTTGAATCCACCAATTCAGATTTCTTCTTCATTTTCAGAGACAAATCAAAGAACCAATGTATTTTTACAAACGGGTAAAACAAAACAAGATATTCAAGCTTCCCCAAATGACTCTCAAGACAGTACAAGAGCTCCTGATAACTCAGATGTTGTTATACGTAACATAATGGAATGCAATGTAAATACGGAATGCAAGGCAAATCAATATTGTGTAGATAACATAAATTGTAAATTTGAATGTAACAAAACATCAAATCAGTGCTTTGACAGCCAAATATGTGTGGCCAAGATTTGTAGTGAAACATTTCCACTGCTACCTCACCTTTGCACAACTGATGTAGATTGCCAAAATATGACTGTGTGTGCTCCATTTAAAAAGTGTGTTATAATTTCCACACTGAACCCTCCAACCAAAATTTCTACTTCATTGCCAGAAACAAATTCAAAACTTATCATCTACTTACAAACACTAAAACCTCTGTATGAGAACACTTCTCCAGCTGCAACCACTGTTACAACAATTCTATCAGAAACACTTGTTCAAAATGTTATGGAATGTAATAAGGAAATCGAGTGCAGGCCAAATACATACTGTGAAAGTGATAGTAGATGTAAATTTGAATGCAAAGAAACACAGCATCAATGTTCAAATGATTCTGTATGCCCTTTGAAAGGCTGTACAGAAACGTTTCCCCTTTTGCCAGAGCTATGTAAAACAGATTTAGATTGTCCAAATTTAACAATATGCAGTCTGTACAAAAAATGTGTATTGATTTCATTTCTAAACCCCCCAACTCTTATTTCCTTACCTGGGATGGATCCAAATATGCAAGTTTACTTACAGACTCCTAAGGTGGAGAAAGATAAACTTAGCTCCACTGTGCCTGCCTCAACAATTATTGATATGAGTACAACTACTCCTCAAAAACAAGAAATTTTTGTTCATAATATCATGGAATGCAATCTAGAAGATCAGTGCAAACAAAATAATTATTGTTTGAATAATCAGAATTGCCAGTTTGAATGCAACTCAACAACAAAAGAATGTTTTGAAAATACTTCATGTGTTATAAAAGTTTGCACTGAAATATTTCCACTTCTTCCTAATTTGTGTATTACAGATTTAGATTGTCCAAATTTGACAGTATGCAGTCAGTTCAAAAAATGTGTATTAATATCACATTTGAACCCACCTACTCCAATCACCCTCCCAGGAATCGATCCCAGTATACAAGTTTATTTACAAACTTCAAAAGAAAAAAATGAACAACAAACCTCCGCAACATCTCCATCCAATAATATGGACATGAGTTCAACTTCTACTCAAAAACCAGAAACCATGGTTCACAATATAATGGAATGCTATGAAGAAGTTCAATGTAAACAAAATGATTATTGTTTGAATAATCAGAATTGCCAGTTTGAATGCAACTCAACAACAAAACAATGTTTTGAAAATACCTCATGTGTTATAAAAGTTTGCACTGAAATATTTCCACTTCTTCCAAATTTGTGTAATGTAGATTTAGATTGTCCTAATTCGACAGTATGTAGTCAGTACAAAAAATGTGTATTAATATCACATTTGAACCCACCTACTCCAATCACCCTTCCAGGAATAGATCCCAGTATACAAGTTTATTTACAAACTCCAAAAGCAAAAATTGAACAACAAACCTCCTCAACTTCTACACCCAACATTATAAGCATGAGTACAACTTCTACTCAACAACCAGAAAGAATGGTTTTCAATATCATGGAATGCTTTAAAGAAGTTCAGTGCAAACAAAATGATTATTGTATTAATAATCAGAATTGTAAGTTTGAATGCAATTCAACCTCAAATCAATGTTTTAATAATTCCTCATGTGTTATCAAAATATGCACTGAAATATTTCCACTAATTCCTAATTTGTGTATTACTGATTTAGATTGTCCTACTTTGACTGTATGCAGTCAGTTTAAACAATGTGTATTTATCTCTCATTTGAACCCACCAACTTCAATCTCCATTCCAGGAATCGATCCCAGTATACAAGTTTATTTACAAACTCCAAAAGAAAAAATTGAACAACAAACCTCCACAACCTCTACATCCAGCATTTTCAGCCTGAGTACAACTTCTACTCAACAACCAGAAACCATGGTTCACAATATCATGGAATGCTATAAAGAAGTTCAGTGCATACAAAATGATTATTGTATAAATAATCAGAATTGTAAGTTTGAATGTAACTCAACCTCTACACAATGTCCTGATAATGCCTCATGTGTTATCAAAATATGCACTGAAATATTTCCACGTCTTCCTGATCTCTGTGATACAGATTTAGATTGTCCTAATTTGACAATATGCAGTCAGTATAAAAAATGTGTATTAATATCACATTTGAACCCACCTACTCCAATTACCCTTCCAGGAATAGATCCCAATATACAAGTTTATTTACAAACTCCAAAAGAAAAAATTGAACAACAAACCTCTACAACCTCTACATCCAACATTATCAGCCTGAGTACAACTTCTACTCAACAACCAGAAACCATGGTTCACAATATCATGGAATGCTATAAAGAAGTTCAGTGCATACAAAATGATTATTGTATAAATAATCAGAATTGTAAGTTTGAATGTAACTCAACCTCTAAGCAATGTCCTGATAATGCCTCATGTGTTATCAAAATATGCACTGAAGTATTTCCACGTCTTCCTGATCTCTGTGATACAGATTTAAATTGTCCTAATTTGACAATATGCAGTCAGTATAAAAAATGTGTATTAATATCACATTTGAACCCACCTACTCCAATTACCCTTCCAGGAATAGATCCCAGTATACAAGTTTATTTACAAACTCCAAAAGAAAAAATTGAACAACAAACCTCCACAACGTCTACATCCAACATTAACAGCCTGAGTACAACTTCTACTCAAAAACCAGAAACCATGGTTCACAATATAATGGAATGCCATGAAGAAATTCAGTGCAAACAAAATGATTATTGTTTGAATAATCAGAATTGCCAGTTTGAATGCAACTCAACCTCCAATCAATGTTTTGGTAATGCCTCATGTGCAACCAAAATTTGCACTGAAAAATTTCCACTTCTCCCAAATTTGTGTGATACTGATAAAGATTGTTTAAATCTGACAGTTTGCAGCTTGTACAAACAGTGTGTATTAATATCACATTTAAACCCTCCAACCCCTCTCTTTTTACCAGATATAGATCCCAATATTAAATATTACTTACAAACTCCAAAGACTCAAATTGAAGACTTTCCTCCAAATGACCATAATGAAATTACTATTACTCCAGAAGAATCAGAAGTGATTGTTCACAACATTCTAGAATGTGATGAAGAATCAGAATGCACTCCAAATGAGTATTGCTTAGATCCAAGCATTTGCAAATTTGAGTGCAATAACACATCTAACCAGTGTCCTGATAAAACTTTGTGTCCCACCAAAACTTGTATAGAAATATTTCCACTTCTTCCTAACCTTTGTAATGATGATTTGGATTGTACAAACATGACAGTTTGTGCTTTATACCAAAAATGTGTTTCAGTTTCCTATTTAAATCCTCCAATGCATATTTCAACCTCTGTGCCAGGAACAAATCCCAAAATTCTCGTTTATTTACAAACTCCAAGAGCTCTCAAAGAAAATACTTCTCCTTATCCAAGTTACACAACTTTTAGCACAATTATTCCATTACAATCAGAATCTGTAGTACATAATATCATGGAATGCAATGATGACATTGAATGTGTGCCTAATGCATACTGTATTGACAACAAAGATTGCAAATTTCAATGTAACAAAACAACTGATCCATGTCCAGTTAACACTCAGTGTCCTACTAAAGTCTGTATTGAAATATTTCCGTCATCTCCAGAGCTCTGTAAAATGGATTCAGATTGTCCTGTGACTACAATTTGTAGTCTTTTTAAGAAATGTGTATCAATCACACATCTTAATCCTCCCATCAAAATTTCATCCTCCTTGCCAGACACAATAAATAAAACTGTAATTGTCTTTCTTCAAACTCCCAAACCAATTACTACAGTAAACTATTCAACTTCCACACCTCTGAATGAGGACCTAGTTACAACCACCATTCTTCCAACTGATATTTCATATCCAAGTGAATTCACACCAATGGTTAATGTTCAATTCTGTACACACCCAGTTCATTGTCAACCTAACAGCTATTGTCAAGATCCAACAATTTGTGCTTATCACTGCCATTCTGTAAATGACAAATGTGAAAATAATGATTGTGTCAGGGAAATCTGCATTGAAAAATTTTTCTGGGAAACAACCTCAATATGCAATAATGACACTGATTGTCCTGACCTATCAACATGCAGTATGTACAAAAAATGCACATTTACATCATACCTGAATCCCCCTGCTCCTGCAAGTTCATTGATTAAGAATCCATTTCCAACATTTTATGTGTTTTTCCAAACATCCAATCCTAACACTTCTGTCAATTCTATTCTTCAGAACAAAACATTTGCAACTCCATCATTTGTACCTATCTCCAAGTCCTCAATCGTGAACATACAGTTGTGTGAAGAAAACAGACATTGCAAAGTAAATAGATACTGTGACCCAATTCGAGAATGTGTCTACTTTTGTCAAAATGTTTCTCAGAACTGCACTGTCCCTAAATGTGTAAAAGAAGCCTGTTTTGAAATTTTTCCAAATAATGTGTCATATGAATGTCTTTCAGATAAAGACTGTTTAGACTTTGAAATATGCAGTCTGTATCAGAAATGTACGTCCACATTTTTCTTAACACCTCCAGCTCCTGATTCAGAATTTATTTCAGATAGGAGTACCATGTTATCTGTATTTGTCCAGAATGCCATTCCTGATCAATCTGATAATGGTCCTGGCAATGACTACATGATCCTGAACCCTTTTCTCACCACTGTTACTCCTAAAATCATAATAGACCCTATGATTACTCTTACTACAAGTGTAGAAACAACAAGCACAGTTTTAACATCGAGAATAGTTGACACATCTGATCCAATAACACCAACAACATTGAATACTACAACACCAACTACTGTTGATTCTACTGAAGTGCAACAATCAGTAATTTTTGATTTAACAACAGAACCAACTACAATATCTCTCCCAGTGTCATCATTATCCCCAATAACCCAGTTTTCTACATTTTCTACAGAACCTACAGGCTCATCGTTGATTATCAATGATCCTGAAACCATTTCTACCACTGAAATACAACTATCTACAGTCATTGATGTATTAACAGAAACAAGTATGATCACAGAGTCATCAATTTTACCAAGCACAGAAACAGTTTTGTTTTCTACATTTTCTACAGAATCTACTACTAAAAAACAACAATCTACTGTCATTAATTTATCAACAGAAAATACTTCAATATCCATAACAGAGTCATCATTTGCACCAATGACTACAATAGCATTGTTGTCTACAATATCTACAAAATCTACTGACTCATCATTGAATATAAGTGATCCTGAATCCATTCCTACCACTGAAATACAGCAATCTACAACTATTGATTTAACAACAGAACCAAGCACAACAATAGCATTGTTGTCTACAATATCTACAAAATCTACAGGCTCATCATTGAATATCAGTGATCCTGAATCCATTCCTACCACTGAAATACAGCAATCTACAATCACTGATTTCACAAGTGAATCCACTACAATATCCTTAACAGAGTCATCATTTTTACCAAGCACTACAATAGCTTTTTTGTCTACATTTTCTACAGAATCTACAGTGTCATCAATGATTACTAGTGATCCTGGATCTAATTTTTCAACTCCCTCTCAAGAGGAGACAACTCAAGAGGGAACATCAACCTCATTATTGTCTACTTTTTCCCTTAGCACATCTTCAACAATAGTTACTTCTATAGCAATGGAAACATCAGTTGAATCTACTGCATATAATACTTCTTTACCTCCCAGCCAAGTTACATCTCCATTTTCTACCTCTCTCACTTCTGTAGCATCTCAGCCAGTAGATTCCAGTACAACAACAGTCATTTTAATGACAATGCCAACAACACTAAATCTAGTGCCTTCCTCAGTTACTCCTTCTACAACACTGGAAGTAACAGGTCTACCAACTTCTTCAGAGGTGGGATCCTCTCAATCTGAGACAACATTTTCAACGGTTATTGCTTTATCATCTGAAACTGCACCTTCAACAGAAACAAATGCTTCAGAGATGACAACCAGCCTCTCAGAGGTTATATCAACAATAGATACACTAATTACAACCTCTCCCCCAGACAAAAATTTTGCTAATGAAACTTTGCAACCTTCAATCACCAATTCTGTATCAGTACTCACATCTGCTTCGACTACTACGCCAACAACTTTGACAACATTGGAAACAATTCCACCAGATTTTGGGTCTAATGAGATTGGCAATTCTAGCGGAGGGTATATATTGTCAGGAGGGAGAAATGAACTGATGTCAAATGAAAGAAGTGTAGAGTTGATAGGCAAGTAAAATTATCACCCATGTTATCATATCTGTTTTGTTTTTAAAAAAATCATTTAACTGTGCTGGTTTTTCTAGGCAAATTTGATTCCTGCTCCTTAACACCATCAGTTATACCAATTCTTCCACTTGGCATCTATGATCATATGACATCTTATGTTGATAACAGTCTTTTGGTTTGTGGTGGTCATTCAAGGTATTCACCATAACATTATTTTAATGAACAATCAATATTTGTTTTGTGTTAAGGCCTAATTTGATAAGTGATATGTGTTATTCTTACAAGAAACCAGACCTTGAGTGGAAACAAGTTGAAAATATGCCTGAAAAAGCAATGAATTCTGCAAAGGTGAACAAAAGAAAAAACTTGATACACTATAAAGGGACCAAATATAATGAATTTGAACTGAATACCCCTGGTTTAAATTTGAATCCCCCATTCAAATCCTACCTTTATCTTTAACTTTGAATTTGTGTTTCAAATATGAACGGGCAGGAGGTTGTTGAGTGATATAGCTCAAATTCATTAAATTTGGTTGCAGGTACAAAACTATTCTCTAGGTTACAATTGGGACTAAGGTGTATTTCCTTGGTGGTTGGACGAATCATCCCTCCAACCTTAGCTTCATATATGATTCCGCAACATCAACTTGGTCTGAGGGGGTCAAATTAACTCTTGGGAGAACCAACCATTGTGCTGTAACCTTCAAAGGAAAAATTATAATTACAGGTAAATTAAATTAAAGGTAGACTATAATTACATGTAGACCATAATTACAAGCAGATTATAATTAAAGGTAGATTGTATTTAGAGGTAGATTATAATTACAGGTAGATTATAATTACAAGTAGATTATAATTAAAGGTAGATTGTATTTAGAGGTAGATTATAATTACAAGTAGATTATAATGAAAGACAGATAGTAGTTAGAGGTAGAATATAATTAAAGGTAGATTGTATTTAGAGGTAGATTATAATTACAAGTAGATTATAATGAAAGGTAGCTTATAATTACAGATAGATTAAAATTACAGGTAGAATATAATTACAGGTAGATTATGATAAAAGGTAGATTGTATTTAAAGATAGATTATAATTACAGGTAGATTATAATTAAAGGCACATTGTATTTAGAGGTAGATTATGATTACAGGTTAATTATGATTAAAGCTAGATTGGATTAAGAGGTAGATTATGATTACATTTACAGGTAGAATATGATTACAAGTAGATTATAATTAAAGGTAGATTGTATATAGAGGTAGATTATAATTACAAGTAGATTATAATGACAGGTAGCTTATAATTACAGATAGATTAAAATTACAGGTAGAATATAATTACAGGTAGATTATGATTACAGGTAAAACTTAGTTTGGTTAATGAATCTTTTATTCATTTATTATTTGTTTAGTACTGAAACAATTTCAAACAAATGCTTAAGATGGCTTTGGACGCAAATAACAGATTTTCTTTTGATGATAGAATCATTTTTGTAATGTATGTAATTGTAAATCACAATATTTATGTGGCTAATTTTTTCTCATTGCACAATGCACAGTATTAAAAAATCATTGAAATTATCTGTTTTGCCCTAAATTAGTTAATTTAAAATGTGAACTTTATTTTGAATACAAGGTGGAAAAATCACACAATCTGGGTCAGGAAGCAGTCACATTAGCACTGTGGAAGAGTTTGACCCTGACAAATCATCCTGGACTTCTTTACCAAGCATGCAGCTGAAAAGGTATTTAATTTGCAAAGTATATGATGCAGCCTTTCGTTCTTGATTAATGAAAACATTCTTGGCAAATGCTTTCGCAGTAGTTGGTCTTCACATGGTCCAAGAATTTCACCTCTGTCGTTTGAATACAAATGCCCCCGTCTATCCCTATTAATCATTAAGTCGACTGAGCATGTGTATACAATTGTAGGGAATCTCATGGCTGCTCTCTCTACAACTTGGCAGGCAAAAATGGTAACTAATCCTGCCAAATTGAAAATCTTAAATAGAAGCTTATATTTTTCTGTAATGAGTAATATACATTAAAAAAAACCTAATAAAGAACATTTTTTGCTGACTTATTGTTTTAGTCTTAGTTGTAATTGGTGGCACCGGAGAACACAATGATACAGAGATATCTGTTGAGTATTTGGATCTAGATGCACCAACTCAATGGATCTTTTTAAATCCTGTTCATACGCCCCGCTGCTGCTGGCCTCAGGTTAAACAAATTCATTACCTTCCAAATCAAAGATTAATGCATATTAGAAGTTTTTAAGAATAATTCCTAAATTAGTGTGTATTATGTTTTCAAAAGTCCAATTAAAGTGAACTACCTGTTGCCGGTTCAATTCCTCATGAATCTTCAACTGTGAGCCAGTGATTCAAGACTTGAACCAGTGACCTCTTTCCAATTCATTAAATTCCGTCCCAGAAATAATTTGACATATCAAATGTGAATTTTCACCATTATCCTAATAAGAATCCTTTCTGGATACATATCAAAGATGTATTTAAAGAAAGTATTATATTTTTCTAACTGAATTTTAAAAATCTTATAGACTGAGATTTTTTTAAATCAAATATCTGTTTGTGACCAACTTATCTCGTGTTAAAGTGTATTGAAACAAACTGTTCAATTTCTTCTTATTTTGGAATAAATACTGAAAATCTTATAACTTTAGAAAAATATTTAAGTGCAAGAACTTTCAAAGAAATTTATCCAAAGTTTTTTTTTTTCGACCCCCATTTGGGACTGAATCCGCATTGAAAAACAAAGTTCTCTGTCAAGGTTGCCATGATCCATGATCAGCTCCAAGTTATGTCTGGAGAAAAGAAACCTTCCGAAGTAATAGAAATCTTTAACAGCCAGGTGAGCTAAACATATTAGGGTAAATATAAGGTGTGATAAATTTAACCCTGAGGAGGGGGGGGGGGGCATTTTGACCCTCTCCCTATCTTTTTTTTTGCAATAACTCATAGTATTTGAGCTAGAAAGGTCAAATTTCTGACATTCCTAAAAAACAAGCTGTGCTCAGTTTAAGTAATGCAGTCTAGGGCGGCCCAACATTTTGTTAAGGACAACAAGTTTTTGAAAACTTAATGGGAGATTCTGTTAAAAATTTCTAAAAATATAAAAATATATATAAAATTTGAAAATATATTTAATATAAAAATATAAAATATAATTCATGTGGATTTAACAGTTTTGTCAATATTCCAGAAAGATTGTTGAATTATAGACCAAACCATGTTTGATTTCAAATCGGAGAAACCAAATGCTGTTCACTCTGGTTGTTCCGGGGTGAATTGAGATCGTTAACAAACAGTAACTTTAATAATAAACAGATAAAAACATTGAATACACTAAAAATTCAGTTCTTAGCCAACAACGAACAGATACATAACACATTTGAACGTTCCAAGCCCTACAGATATCTCAGCCTTGTCATTTTTTTTGATTCCTTCTTATTTGATCAGAACTAACTTAATTCAGCAAATCTTGAATTTTACTGAAGATTGGTTACTCGAAATAGCAGTATAGAAAGTTCCAAAATTTGGATTTGGAACATGGAAAGAGGACATTTCATATTGTGCAAGAGACGTCACAAAACCATGCAAACACTTATGACATAATCTAGAATGTATTTTTGGACCTCTTTTTGCTCAAGGCAACAGTCTTGAAGTAATTTTAGAGGACCATAATGAAAAAAGAAAAGGAAAATGACTGAACAGGAGAAAAAATCATAGAGATCCAAGATAAGGGCGAAAAGATTGTAAAAGGTTGACTAAAAAATCATTTTTCAATTAAAAGTAGCTCTAAATAAGTCATGAAACTTAGTTATTACACCTTGTAAAATATTTGTTTATAGGAACCAAGCTTTGGTTGGAAACTAATTTTTCAATTACTAATTTTTTTAATTACTAATTTTTCAACTTACTCAATTTAGAATTTTTTTAAACCAAGCCAAGAACATTCCGGTGGTTCCCTCTAGTTTTCCAATAAAAATTTGAGTTTTGATGAAGCATTTTTTACAGTAAAAAAATCGATTTTGAACGCGTTGACTTTGCACTAAAACTCAGTAATTATACATAATTAAAACGTGTATAGTCTCAAATGAATCCTACAAAATTTCTCCACAAAACTACATTCTCAGTTCAACTAACATACATTGCCGGTCACTCCCTTTATTCACCTTAAACTGTTTTATTTCAGACCATGGATTGGGAGGATGCTGGTTATACAACCCAGGTTAGATTAAATCTGAAGTAATACTCAGCTCAACTATAGTTTTCTTAAATGGACAGTATAAACGTAATTTCAAGTGACCATTAGTGCCATATCGATTTACAACGGTACTGTTCAAACCTTAAGCTGATCAAAAATATAGACTTTTTTACACTAAAAGTGTTTCGTGAATTTATCCAATGTTTCTTATAAGCAAGAAATGCGCAAGTCACTTTTGCAGAGAAACCACTATTAAAAATAAATTGTTTAAATAGACACAAACATTGATAACCAATACATACTTGATCAGACAAAGGTTTAAAAGTTACAATTGTAAATAGGTCATTTCCATCTCTTGAAATTACTCTTAAAGCCCGTTTATTTCAATGATTTTTAATAACAGCAATTTTGATTAGTGATAGAACGATGAGTAATTATCTTTCTTATCTTTCATATTGCTCAGAACTCTTTACATCATATACGGTGTTTGATGTAAATGTCAATTATTAAACTCTAATAACTCAATAATGTTTAAAGATATCTCTAAAAAGCTATTGAAAGAATGATTTATAATTTTTTTAATAAATTTTCAAAATTCTCGCCATCTTCTTAGAAGCAAATTTTGACTGATGGTTAACTGATTTCGAAATAAAACGTCCGTTAAAGTTTTTTTGTAGAAAATCAAAAGTGACAATCTTTTCTTTCATTAGCTTTAGAGAGAACTAAGATATCTTTTAAATGATGGAGTTATTACCGTTTAAAAATTGGCATTAAAAAAACACCCTGCAGTTTTAAAGGTTATTTATATATTTATTTTTATTTTAGGCAAGACGGTTACAAAGTTCTGGAACACATGTTCCCCATGATTTTTTAAATTGTTTCTGAATGTTTTCCGGATATTTGAAAATAAATGTGTATTAAAGAAAGATTTACTGTAAAATGATTCAAACAATTTAAAAAGTAACAGAAGAGTCTGTAAATGAACGGCAAAAACTGTTCATTTTGAGATCTATAACAACTCGAAATATTCGTCTTGAAGAAAAGATTAATAAAAAAACCGAACAATTGTGTTTTAAAATAATGATAACTTTTATGTGTTTTACATATAATATTAAATATTACGTTCGTCCGATTCTGGTGTTTCAAAAATGTGGTCTAACTGTTCAGTTCCTTTATTGACATCATTTGGGAATGCTCCGTCACTTATGAGTCACTCACTGTTTTTGAATAGAAACTTTATTCTTAAATAAATATCAAATACAGAAGACAACTGAAATGGCGTCATCAAATTTTAATGTACACTGACTACTGAGACACTGAAATTCCGAAAAATATGGCAACTGTTTTTGTCACAGTTATTGGTGTGAATCGTTTTAAAATCTAGTTTTCAATTCACGCTTTTATTTTTTAGCTAACAATTTCATGTTTTGAAAAAAAGGGTTGATTAATACAAACAAACTGATAATTTTAAACTTTTGCAAAAATAGAAAAATGAAACTGCTTTATGTTAGTTTTAATAAAAAGACAACTATTAGATAGTTGTTATGAATATTGCTGCATAATGTAGCACTGCACACAATGGATAAAGGTTATTGAATATAAACAAACATTTGTGTGGTCTGAACTGATAGATAAGATTTGAAATGTCAATCAAATTATTTTGATTTATTTTAGACTTTAAAGTCGCATCATTTTCAGTTTTTTCTTTGGTAAAATCCCAGGCTAACACTTTTATTCTTTTCCGTCTTCATAATTGGGAAGATATTTTGAACAGGAAGTGACATTTCAATGTATATTGGTATAGGGTAAGGTAAAGGACAATTAAAAGGTTGGTCGGTGTTCCGAAAATTAAATAGCCCATAACTTTTAAATTTTGTTCTACAGATAAAAAATTTACATATGTAAAAAGTCCTTAAAAAAGAATGTAGGTTGAAACAGTTCGGGATGGGCAGTTTTCACTTTAGAAAAAAAACGACTCTGATCGTTTCCTTCAAGGGAAAAAATTAAAAACAATAATTTGAAGACGAGTTAGTGACAGCTTTTAAAAATTTAAAACGAAATAACGTTTTTTTCTTTAAACAACTGATTTTATAACATTTATTTTCAAAGACACATTTTCATATACGGTTAAACCCTAAATCAGCCATACATCGAAAGAATTCATCAAATGTATTTTTCACTTTCTGATAATGAAATGTTGCAGATATTTAGTATTTTTTTTAATTAAATGATTATATCGAGGGAGCTCTTTAAAAATGTTCCCGCATATTCATGGCTATTTAATTATTTTCGCAAATACTGAGATTTACGTAAAATAGTAAAAAAAAACAATGAAAAATTGTAAAGACGACATTTGATAATTTTTTTCGATGTATGGCTCAATTAGGGTTTAACTGTAGTTAATTACGACCAGGGTGGAGGGGGGGGGGGATAAGTGTAAAGGTGTGCACGCTGAAAATTATTAATATTGGGTGATAATAAACTTCAAAAGAAGTTTTGTTTGATTTTAAACTTATTTTTCAATTATAAAATTTGAATGTTTGTATACGGAAAGATAACACGGGCTTAATGAGTAAAATAAATTATTGTTTTTATAGTTGAAAAAGTTGAAAAAGTTGATAAAAAATATCCTTTGATTAGTTTTAGAGATTAAAGGGAGTAACCGGCAATGTAAGGTAATTGAACTGAGTATGGAAAACATCTTTAGGATTCATTTGAGACATATTTCACTTTTAAAAGATCTGTAAATCCTGAGTTTGAGCGCAAATTCGACGTTCAAAAATCCTGATTTGGGGGTGGATACGCTTTCAGAATTAGTTTTTTTTTTAAATTATTAAATAACGACAATGAAAAATAAAGTTAAAATTATACAGTAATCTAATTAGATGGCTAGGAACATATTTCACAAAAGAAATTTGTCAATAAATCAATGCTAAAATCGATTATTTCGTTTTCATTATTATATTGAACTTCTAATTTTCTTTGAATTTATTCGCAGATTTCTTCAAATTCTTTAAATGTCATCTTTTCAATAATAATAGAAAATTTGCGAACATCTTTGTGAATAATGAGGAACCAGAATAATGAGAAAATAGAAACTAATAATTGAACAAGATTACTTATTTTAGATGATAAGATTAATTTTTATTTTCTCAAAATGTTCCTAAACATGACGTCTGTAGTTTATTGTAGAATATTTTTACATTTGATGTCGTCGTTAATTAATAATTTTTAAAAACTAATTCTGAAAGCGTATCCACCCCCAAATCAGGAGTTTTAAACGTCGAATTTGCGCTCAAACTCAGGATTTACATACTTTTAAAAAGTAAAATATGTCTCAAATGAATCCTAAAGAAGTTTTCCACAACACTGCGTCCTCAGTTCAAATACCTTACATAGCCGGTCACTCCCTTTAATTTAATAGAAGAGAAAATATAAATATCCGCAAATAACTTACAGAATTTCCAAAGGCCGAATTTAAAGAATTTGAGACGCGGCTCAAATATGGTTGGTATCACTTAAATTGTATTCAATGTTTTAAGTTTTACGCCGGTGCTTACTTAAAACCCGGTTTTTGGCGGATTTGAGGCTCAAATTCATTAAATTCTGTTAACCAAAACGTTCTGAATATTTAACAAATGCATCAAAAACCATTGTTCAAGAAATTGGAACAATCATAATTTAACAAATCTGATACGACCAGATTTATGCATTTTCTTGTTAACAATCGTCACATGTTAATCCCATCCTGATTGGGTTATTATGGTCTAATATAAGTATATTGTGGGGGGGGGG